ATGCGGTTGTATCGAAGGGCTTGGCTATAGACGATGGATCGTGTGGTGTGTTCTGGATGGGAGCTGGATGCATGTAGGTAACTGTATGAGTCAGTGGGTTTTCTGTAGAGAGTGGTGTCTAATTTTCCATTGTTGATTTGTACGGTGGTGTCCAGGAAGTGGATCTCTCGTGTAGAATGGTCCAGGCTGAGGTTGATGGTGGGGTGTAGGTTGTTGAAATCTCTGTGGAATATCTCCAGTGTTTCTTGGCCATGTGTCCAGATCATAAAGATGTCATCGATGTACCGTAGGTAGAGGAGGGGTGAAAGGGGACGGGAGTTGAGGAAACGTTGTTCTAGGTCAGCCATAAAGATGTTAGCATACTGTGGGGCCATGCGTGTACCCATGGCTGTGCCGCTGATCTGGAGGTATAAGTTGTTCTCAAACTGGAAATAATTGTGGGTGAGAACAAAGTTACATAGGTCTGCTATCAGGTTGGCAGTAGTGTCCTCTGGGATAGTGTTTCTAATTGCTTGTAATCCGTCTTCATGTGGGATGTTGGTATATAGAGCTTCTACATCCATGGTGGCAAGGATGGTATTATTGGGGAGGTTATCGATGTTTTGTAGTTTCCTTAGGAAGTCAGTAGTGTCTCGGAGATAGCTGGGGGTATTGGTTACGAAGGGTTTGAGAAGAGGCAAATTTAGTGCTTAAAGGGCAATATTCAACTTGGTCAAAAGAGTGTGAGGAGTAGTGAAGGGATGAGACTGTATTGGGCAAGTGGAAAGCATCTGCCCCTCGATGACTCAGTATGGCCCATGCAGATTCTACAAAGCTACACAACCTGTGCGTTTCCTCCATTTTTACCAGCTCACTGCTGGTATTCTGAAAGGAGTATGCTCAGCATTTAGGCTAGGCTTGCTATTGTAGCTGCACCGGAAGAGCTTCACTGCCAAGTAGTCCTAGTGAAGAAGAATATTATATTGGCAAAAAGGGGCTGTGGTCAGTGAAGCTTATACTCGTTCCAGGACCAAAATCAGCTAATGCTGACATGAGGACATTTTTGCTGAGATAACTGAATCTACACTAAGGCTTTTGCCAGCTTAGAAATGTTGGAAAAACATCATTCCTCTAAGTGACTTTAGCATTTAGTGTAGACCTGGCTGTAATCTTACCGATGCTAAACGAGCTCACAAGCTAAACACCTATGATATATTCATAGGAGCACAAGTAATCCTACTTATGTTAGGGTAACTGTAGTAAAGTTAAGTACAATCAAAAACTTCTGATAAGCATCTGTACATTGAACAGCTGCCTTTGGTTAATACTTTTAGATGGTTTATTTTATGCCTGTGTTTATCAGCTATTAATCAGGGTGCATTTAGATTATGAAACATATCAGTTCTCTGCTGTATCCCCTTGTAAGTATTTACTTAAGGAATTAGTCTTCTTTATTGCAGGTAATGGACAATTAAGATCCCTTTACTAGGGTTCATTTAGAGGAGAATGGTAAATCAGCTCTCTGTTGCATAGTCCATTCCTATCCAGGGCCCAGAAATGTGAACTATTTTTCCATAGCTTCAGGGGTAGCCTAGTTAGTCTGTACAGGATAAACTTAAAAAACAACAGTCTGGTAGCACTTTAAAGACTAACAAAACATGTAGATGGTATCATGAGCTTGTACTGTGCCCACGAAAGCTCATGATACCATCTACATGTTTTGTAAGTCTTTAAAGTGATACCAGACTGTTTGTTGTTGTTTAAGTTTATTTTTCCATAGAGTGTATTGGGAGCTGAAGTCCCAAGCATAACTTAGAAAAAGCTATTCTTCTCAGAATGTCAACCCTATTAATGGCCTCAACCACAGTTCTTAATTAATGGAAGAAGGTCTAAGATGGAAAGAATAGTGGGGCCAAGGGCAAGCACATCACACGGAATCTGATTCCCACATGAGTTTGTGGCCTTCATCTTCTCCTGTGCTGTGGCAGCTGTGTGTCACCTGTGATGAGCACCTGCCTACAACAGTGCCTTCCCAGAAAGATCATTGCATTCACTGGGGAATTGCTGTGATCCATGCAAAGCCTTTGTAGCAGCTCTTATATGACAAGAGTTGCAACGGAGGGTCTCTGGTACTGCCTGTGCATTTCAGGCTACTTTTATTTGCGGCTGGACACCAGCTCAATTCAGCTCTGCTTCCAGTTTGGGAGGGGTGTGATGACGTAAAAGTGTGTGAAGTCACCTTTTCAACTCTTCCTACAAACCAGCACTCAGGGACAACTGTTTGAAGACATCTAAGCCCCTAACATTGCCTAAAAGAATTTTCAAAATCTCCCCGATGCCTATATCCCAGGGGACAGGCACAACACAAGAGTCCTAAGGGACCTAAAGATGAAGAGAGGTGCCTAGCTGGAATTTTGCAGCAGGCTAAATTCCTAACTCTCATTGAAACCAACAGAATTAGACATTTAGCCTGGTTGGGTGCATGTGAAAATCCCATGAGAAGTGTCATGCCCTCATAAATCTTCCCTTGAATGCTCCTGATGTCAACGGAAACACGCTTCTGAATTATATTAGCATAGCTGCGATCTGAATCAGATTCCTCTTGAGCTACCGGACTCTTTAAAAAGCAAACAAAATAGCTAGAGAGAACATAAGATTTTAGAAATTGGCGTTGTGACTCAGCCCACTTGACTAGTTTTAAGAGGCTATCTTGGGAATTATCCTTAGACGGAGAAAACTTTGGATTTCCAACATTGCAATGCAAAGCATTTTATCTTCAGTAAGATCATAAGAGTCAAGCACCTTGTTGATATTGGCCTGCAGGAGAGAGGACTTTGCCTTCCACGACATGTCAGGCAATCTAGCCACTGAGTCACATTTTTAAAAAAGAGAGCAAAAGCATAAAAGACTGTTTCTGAGATGTATCCCATGTGACTAAAAGAATTACCGGATTTCCACATAAGTGCAGTAGTAACAACTCACAAAGCAAAGTTCAGGAAGTTGAAAAGCTAAACTAATCCAATTTCAAATATCAAAACTGAGTCTGAAAAAACATCCGATACCTCAATTTCCCCAAATGTGGAGATATTTAGAACCTACTTTTTCTATTTGTACCTCTCTAGTAAAATCCCATTGTTATTGCTAATGAATGAAAATGTTACGTGCTTCCACATAGAATAACTTGTATGCTATGCTGTTCAGGTCTTCCTTATATAAGGAAAGCAATCAGAGCTCTTGGGGGCTGAGAGTGGGGAGGAGCAATGACTAGAGAATGAGAAACAGTAGCATAGTAGAGGGTAAATGGAGATTATCCTGTTTCTTTTGGAGTTATTTTAGGTGTTTATCTCCTTTTTACCACTGCACCTCTGGTCACAAATAATTGTAGTCTTATTCCCTCAAAAAACAGTATTAGAAAGCATCTGCTACTAATTGAGTATAGTCCTTCAATTCCTATGACTTCAAAAATACTTGGCAAGATTCTTGGGTAGGCTAACTGCAATTTTTCAAAGTCCAAAGACAAAATATTTCTAGCTACCTATATTTCTTGGGCTTTGGGGGTTTCTTATGCCTGCCTTTCCCATCATTCCTTGCCTCTCCCAACTGGTTGATTGAACTTGGCTTGAGAGAGGAGTCAGGCAGCCTTCTTGCCTATGCTCATATATTACAGGCTTTGGTAAGAATGTAACACTTTCATTCTAGCTTTTATCTCTTCTCATTATACAGGTTGAAGTTCTCTGGTCCTGCACTCTCTGGTCCGGCAACATCGATGGTCTGGCATGATTTTAGTTAGCTCGATGTCCACTTACAATGGGTGTGGCCAAGTGTCCCACAGCCCCATAAAGTTTGTGTTCAGCCACAAGTCCTGGCTCTCAGTGTTCTGTGCTGTTGTTATTTAGCTCTAATTTACCCCTAAATGTCTTCTAAGAGCCCAGTAAGCAGTGGAAGTGTGGGTGATGCTGCTAGACAATATAGACCTCCTGTGGTTGGGGAAATTCTCTGGTTTGGCACTGGACAAGTCCCGAGGATGCCAAACTGGAGAGGTTCAACCTGTACTAACAAACCCATCTAGCTATGTAGAAGCAACATTCACAGTGGCTTTGGTCACATATATTAGTGTAAATATAAAAGGGCATCAAAAAGTCAAACCCAAAATTCTACTTCAAGCTGACACATAAGCCTATACTCCAACACAGGGTTATGTATACCCCGGGGGACGGGGTGCTATGTAGAGATCCAGGGTGTATCTCAACTCATCTAGAAGTTTGCCTAGTTTTATAACAGGCTACATAAAAAGTACTCATGAACTTAGTGCAAGGTAAAATTCCATATAGAAAATGACTTGCTTATTTTGTCCAGGATGCTATAAATATTGTATGTATATTTCAGGGTAATTTCAAATTGATTTGTTTTAATTAAATGGTAAATTGGGAAAATAAGCATTTCTCATTAATAGTGTGCTGTGGCACTTTTGTATTTTCCTGTCTGATTTTGCAAACAAGTAGGTTTTAAGTGAGGTGAAACTGGAGGCCTGCAAGACAGGCCAGACTCCTGAAAGAGATACAGGAGTCTGGAAAGGTTGGCAGCCACTGCTATAAATAGCAGCCATTCCCACAACGCCAATATTATTTCATCCCTTTCAGAACTGTAGAGGCCAAACCCCATGGAGCACCCAGAGAAGAAGCTTTGGAGCATCAATGGCATTGAGCCAACAGAGTCCCCCATGTGTTTCACACCAGGCCCACTACATTCTGCGGCATTCTGCTTATTGAGTTTACATTTGGCCATCACAATTTGAGAAATGCCAGCTTACTCCTAATTGGGTTACTTTCACATGCTGCAAATCTGCACTTGAGTTCCACCTGACTTCAGAAACCTGGTAGAGATACATCAGTATGGCTACAGTGGGGCAGAACAAAGGTTCATTTAGTCCATTATTCTGACAGTGGCCAGTACCTGGTATCATCGTTACAGTGGCCAGTATCTGGTGCCCCTGAGGGAGTGAACAGAACAGGGAATCCTCAAGTGATCCTCAAGACCATTCTCAGCTTCTGGCAAACAGAGGCTAGAGACACCATCCCTGCCCATCCTGGCTAATAGCCATTGATGGGCCTGTCCTTTATGAATTTATCTAGTTCTTCTTTGGACCCTGATCATTTGATGACCAAGATCATCAACAACAAAGACAGACAAAATAAATCTAGTTTTAAGTACACATTTTAATGTAAAAATGGTGGGATTCCAAAATGAGAAAACTGGAACATAAGCCATGACATTTTTCCATTCATTGAACAAAAATAAATAAAATAATTAACATAAAATCTTCAAACACACCACAGCAAGAACTTGACATGTTCTGTCTTCATAAGGAATTAGCATCATAGAAACAAATCCAGATGAATCAAAATAACGTCAATAAATAAAGTTTGAGTTCTTTGACTCAAATATTAACTTTTTAAATAGAGAGAGCTATACAATAGTCGATGTGATATAGCACAATAAATAATGCCCACCCAATAACAGCACTTTGGCAGCTTTATTTCTGAAACCACAAAACCCAAGTCAGTAGCTAGCCTCAGGTTAGCCTTGACTCACAGTGCAGTTGTTACAACATGCCTGTGCAGAGGAGGGGTAAGTGTCGACACTGTAGTGGTGTAATAGTAAAAGAGCCTGGCTGAGAATAAATAAAGCTGTGCCGTAAGTGCATTGCACTCCAGAAACTGTGTCCTGCCTAAGTCATTTCCAACGAGTCTTCATTTCATCAGCAAATCACTTTTCCTTATTCAGTGTTCTCAGCTTTAGAAAGTGCCATAGTCTATAGATAACAGCTTTTTTCAAAAAAGTCTGTTAAAACAATGTTCCTCAATATATATATATATATATATAAATAAATAAATAAATTAAATAAATAGGAACTGGATGCTGCTAGCAGCAGTCTGCTGGAAAACATGATCACAGAAGGAGATGGGCTGCTCGAAGACTGGCCAGCATTTTCACAGAGATGTTTCCTTCATGAGGAAACTGAAGAACAGCAGTGGTTTTTTCTTCTTTGGCTTTTCTTAGAACATTGTTTCAACATTGGCTTGAGCTCTGTAGAGAGAAAAAGAAAAGGAATAATTTAGAAACCTGTTCATGGCACAATTATCATATGTTAGAACACATGCGGTCAACAAAAAAAGTCTTAAGCCAAGCTGTTGAAACTCATGTATAACCTGTCTCTGTCGCTTTAAGTAAGCCGCAGTACAAAGAAAATGAGACCCACATTTTCACAAGTACTGGTCCTGGGGTAGGCATCCCTATCTTGCTGCCCAGAACATGAGAGCTCTTGCTCTCCACCACATTGGTGAAAGAAACTTCATTAACTTTGGCATAGTTACTCTTGGTTCACAACAACAGGGAAATCTGGCTGGGGAGTGAGGGCTGATATATCAGAAGCACTGAGCACCTGTGAGTCCCATTGTCTCCAGAAAGACTAGCAGTGGCCCTGTATTGCTAATGGCTACAGATGACTTATCCAAGCTCACTCAGGAAGCTTGGAGCAGAGCAGGGAACAGGAATCACCTCAGTCCTATAACCTAACCACCGGTCCACCCTCAAGGTAGAATATTATTGTTATTTATTAAGTGCATTGAGACAGACAACTTTGGGAAAAGATTGCAATGCCCTGAGGAGTAACCCTTAAGGTGTTTGTGCTAAGAAGCTACCTAATTCTCCTTTTAAACTAAATTGAGAATGAATAACTCACTTGTCCAAAATTGCCTTAATGATCATCTTCACCCATGGAGCATTGGGATCCAAACACACTTCTCTGCCGTCCTTCAGAGTAGTGCTGCAAAGAAATAAAAGGAAGATGGTTAAACGTCTGTCTTCGTGATGGATTCTCTATACTCTTGTCAGAGGATCTTTCAGCCTTTAAAGATGTAGGCATAGCTGGTATGGATCAAATAATTCCACTGACCTCACTATAGAGCTACACCAATTCACTCTTGCCCCACATCATTTGTTTGGTTGAAAGGGTTTCAGGTTTGCAAAAAACAAAAAAAGTGAAAAGCTCCCTCGCTCTCTTTTCTCTCTCTATATATATGTGTATGTATGTGTTTGTCTGCGCTGATATTGCTTTTCATGGAAGAAGCTCATATCTTCATTGCTCCTTCAGAGAAACCTCATAAGTCCACAGTGGGGAATTTTGTCTGAGAAAGGACCTCAGCATGTGGCACTTGATCCATGGGAGTTTCCCACAAAGTGGATGGGAGCAGAATCAAGCCCAGGATACTTGTCCTTGTCAGGAGGACAGCTCACTATTTTATCAGAGCTTGCCCAGACTTGCACAATGACCTAATTCTTCTATCTTATAAGGATTGTTAGTGGAAGTTTTACCCACTAAAATAAAGGACTTTAGGAATTGGATTAATGCAGGTTCTAGTACTTTATACCTATTGTACATTATTCCTCACTGGTATTTGTATTTGCACCCCAGAGCTGCTGGACACTATAAAATGCAAATTGCAATACCTAAAATAATCTCTTGAGAGAGAATTTAAATTATCTTGGGGAGTCTTCCTTAGTGATGTGGGGCTTTGAAAGTTCCTGGAGCAGCACAATGCAAAGCAGCAGTCTCCTCCTATTTGGCAGCAGTTAGAATTTGGCAAAAGTGCTTACATGATTTCGACGTTCTGGCAGTGAGGGCCACTCTGGGTCAGCTTCACGTCCTGAATCCTTCTGGGGGGGATGAACTTGGAGTCTGTGCTGATACACTGGCAGGATTGATCACTGGCCGTCTGGGACAGGCTCATCCCTGGTAAAGATGAGTATTTCAGTGTCTAGACCTATGAAGCATTTCACATGGTCTTGCTTCTGGGGGCATTGATTAGACCTGCTTGCTTTCTGGGTTTTTCCCCAAAGGTCTTGGCTAAAAGGTTGCCTTTGTCCTCACTTCTAAGCTACTGAAAACTGGAACCTACAAATCTGCAGGTATCCACATCTCTGGGAAAGAAAGAAAGAAAGAAAGAAAGAAAGAAAGAAAGAAAGAAAGAAAGAAAGAAAGAAAGAAAGAAAGAAAGAAAGAAAGAAAGAAAGAAGATTTTACCAGAACATAAACTTTTTAATATAAGCCTAAAAATATGTCTCCATATGAGTGTGCATGATAGGTGAATAAACCAAGTCATCTCAGCCTTAGGGAGGGTTTTGCTTACCTTCTGCCACTGCTGCGTAAAGCAGGAAAAGAGCCAGGACAGCAACAACGAACTTGCCGTTCATAATGAGAGGTGAGGTTTCCTTCTTGCTGGTTGTACCTCTTCTTGCAAGGAGCAGAGAGTTCTCTTGTCTCAGGTTTCTGATGTTGGAGCTGTGTAACCCGTGCTGCTTTATATACTGTCCGAGGGTGTGCTTTAGATTGTGTCAGAGGAAATTCCCAAATCATGCAAGACACTGTTGTGAAATGAGTCACGTGGCTGTGGGTAAAACCCCTTCCTAAATGGCCATGGAATTGGCTGTCATTCAAATTAAGTCTCTTATCAACTAATAAAAATAAGATTTACAAAGTCACCATGTAGCTAGCTCAGTGTAACAGGTGGGTTTGTATAAATTATTTCTGTTTTGTTACTAATTTGACTATCCCTTTATATTCTTTTGTTTATCATGTGGCATGTTAAGAACACAAAGAACTCCTGAGTTTCCCTTAGCAGTTGTTTGGCTATGGTTTTTTAATAATAGAAATGATAGAATTCTGTTTAAATCCAGTGTTCTGTCATACACACAGTGTAAAGGTATCTATCTATCTATCTATCTATCTATCTATCTATCTATCTATCTATCTATCTATCTATCTATCATGCATATACAATTGTTTTTTGTGAAAGCGGAGTTAGCGTCTACTTTTCTACTTTGATTGTAAATCAAAGAACACCTGAAATCCTGGTACCACTGAAATCGATGTCAACAATCATGCCAACTTCAATGGAGCTAGGGTCTCTAAGGCCTGGTCTATACTAGGAGTTTAGATCAAATTTAGCCACAGAAGATCTATTTTCTAAACTATTTGTCCACACTACCAAGCTCATTTTGTCGACCTTAAGGGCTGCTGAAGTTAATTTCGGTGCTTTCCACAAGACGTAACACAATGTTTTACTTTGACTGGTTGAATTTACGGTAGTATAGATGAAGTGTGGCAAAAGTCAAGGTTCCTGGCCTCTGAGAGGCATCCCACAGTGTCCTGGTTGGGCCAGAACTTGTGCCTTTACTGGTCTCCAGGTGAACTGGTAAAACCCCGGGAAAGTTTGAATTTCATTTCCCATCTGGCCAGTCTTCTAATCACACCTTAGAGCAGACAACGTGCCTGAGCAGCACATGTGGCCATGACTTCAAGTCCCAGGAGCTCCAGTTCCCTTGGGCACAAAAGAGCACCAACATGGAGTATGCAGGAGATCTTGGACCTCATCAAAGCATGGGGAGAGGAATCCATTCCCTGTGAGCTCCAAAACAGCAAAAGAAATGCTGATATTTAGGTGAAAATTACAATCTGCCCAGTGGCCAAAAGGTACTCCATGGATGTCCAGCAGTGACAAGTTAAATTAAAGGAGCTGAAGCAGTCCTACCACAAGACAAAGGGTGTAAATGGACAGTCTGGTGCATTGCAGCAAACATGCTGATTCTACAACCAGCTCCATGTGATTGCAGAGGAGGACCTGATCAGCTTCCCAAACCTGACTATGGAGTCCTCACAAAACACTCCACGTAGCAGAATGGAGGACAGCATAGTGGCTGAGGAAGAGGAGGAGGGAGAGGACAATGGCCAGCCAATGATCAGTGAGAGCCAAGAACTTTTCATAATCTAGGAACTGATCCTCTCATCCCAGGATGTCTATCAGTCAAGCATTGAACCTGGGGAGGACACTTCTGGTGAGTACATAATATTTTTCTAACGACAAGTGGGTTAAGGCAATTTTGTGTGATGTGTGGCGTAATCTGTGCCTACACAGCACCGGGGGCCCAGAACAGCTTGTTAACATGTCTGGAGATGGAGTGGTAATCCTCTCTGCATATCTCCATGAAGCTCTCAGATACAAACTCTTTGATCCTTCACACAAGGTTTCTGGGGAGACCTGACGTAGTCCATCCTCGATGGTAAGACACCTTCCTACACTAAGGCAGCAGTGAATGGTCTGGTGTCATTGCAGCACAAAACATTGCAGCATATGGCCCAGGTTTCTTGCCACATTCAGTCAGCATCAGCTCTCTACCTGTGTGATTCAGATAAGGCTGCTATCCTGCATGGCAACTTGGATGAAGGAGTAGGGGAAGTTGTTAGCTGAGGCCTCTGCATCTACCATGGCTTCAGCCTCTAGCACTCCCTCCATCCATCCTGCCCTCCTGCCCACATGACCAGACACTATAACTCCAGCTTCCCCCCGCAACTCCTGTGGGTTGGGAAAGTAGCACTCTCCCAAGAAATGGGATGTGCTGGACACACAGGAGGGAAGCCACATGAGCCGCTGTCCTGCCCTGCTAGCATAAATGGACCCAAGTCCTGCCTGCAGGATCATTATCCGGCAGGCTTCTTACCATGCCTGCCACAAAACCGCCAGAGGTTCCCTTGGCAACTCTGCCGTGTACCTACTGTACAGTGGCGGCTTTATAGCTTAACTTTGGTCTTCTACGGAACACATCTCTATTGGTTTTACAGAGAATATCTTGAAGCAACAGGAGAATATCTTTTTGTGCCTGATGGCTGTAATGGAGTGCATTGCAGAGAGCATGGAGAGGAGCACCCTACACCCCATGCACAACAACTTTTCCTTCTCACCCAGTTCCATAGCTTCTACCCTCAAGGGCCCCAGGACACAGGGCAGGAGGGGGTACTGTAGGGCAGCCTCACTCTCAACCTCCAGGACCTCTGGAGCAAAAGACTGTCCTTCTTGCATTTGTGATCCCCTCCAACCCCCTTTTGGGTCCCACCATGAACTTCTTTTCTCTCTCTGTCTTCCCTACATAAAAATGCATGAACTCTGAACAACAGTCTCTATATTTCTGGTATTGTAAGGATAGGGCGAGAGACTGAAGGAAAACACACTGAATTCAGGGGCACCTCACTGAGAGCACTCTCAAAACTGGCCATTCATAAAGCTTTCTTTCAAAGCCTCCCTAATTTGTGCCTGAAACTGTCCTTGTGCTGTGCTCTTCTTATCGCCCTCGTGTCTCGCTTCTCAAAATCTCTGGTCGAGCACACTGCCTCAGCTCCCCACCCTGCCAGAGAACTTTCCCCCTTGCTCTCACAATGATTTTGGGGCACACAACAGGCTGCACCACAAAGGGAATTCTGCATTTGCCGAGATCCAATGTAATCAGCAGATTCCTGAATCTTCCCTTTAAACACCCCAACCCACATTCAACCACCATTTTGCACCTGCTGAGCCTGTGGTTGAACTGCTCCTTATTGCAGGCCAGGCTGCCATGTAAGGCTTCATGAGCTGCAGGAGCATGGGGAAGGCTAGATCCCAAAAGATCACAACTGGCATTTTTACCTCTCCAATTCTGATTTTCAAGTCAGGGGGGAAAAGTTCTGGAGTGCATCTTTCTGAAGAAGCAGGCGTTCCTAAAGATGCATGCATCATGCACCTTTCCTCACTATCCCACATTGATGCAGGTGAAACAGTCCATATGATCCACCACCACCTGCAGCACCATCGAGAGTTATCTCTTGCTGGTTATATACTCCTTGGCAAGGTTGTTGGGGGCCAAGATAAGAATGTGCATTGGGTCTATAGCCCCACCACAGTAAGGGAATCACATCATATCAAAGCCATCCACTATGGTATCCATGTTTCCCAGAGTCACTACCGAAATGGTATTGATGGCCTTGGCTACTTGTATAACAAGAGCCCCCACTGTAGATTTCCCCACTCCAAATTGATTCCCAACTGACTGGTAGCTGTCTGGTGTTGCAAGCTTCCACAGGGCAATTGCCACATGCTTCTCCACAGTCAGAGTAGATCTCATGTGGGTGTCCCTGCACCTCAGGGCCAGGAATAGCCATTTGCAAAGTTCCATGAGAGTGGCCTTGCACAGCCACTGCTGATCATCCCATACCTACAGCACTGTGCGTTCCCATCTGTCTGTGCATGTCTCATGGCACCAGAATTGGCATTCCACTGTGTCCAGAGGATCAACTGGTGGCAATGTTTCCACCAGCACAAGGGCTTGTCTGTACAGTGAGTCTATAGGATCCCCAGGTTCATCCTCGTCCTCTTCGTGCTGGAGTAATGTGTGTACAGATATCCACAGATTTGCTGCACTCTGCACATCAGGAGTGGTTTCTCAATTGGGAATGGCAGAAGTTGAAGCAGGGACTTCTTGGGTTAATGGAGCACAGCTGTACAATTCTCTTTGGCTACACTGCACAGTTATTTTGGAATAAGCTATTCTGGAATAGTTAGTCTGAAATAGCTTATTTCAAAATAAAATATCTACACTGCAGGGAAGACTCAAAATGAGTCTGAGGCTGGCTTCCCTAATGTAGACGTGCTATCTCTATTTAGAGTCCCAGGAGGATAACTTAGAATGGTCCTGGTGAGGGGCTATTTTGAAATAGCAGCAGTGAAGCGTCTACATGTGCCTTATTTCAAAATAGCTATTTCAGAATAGACCTTATTCTTCATAGAATGAGGTTTACAGAAGCCGGAATAAGCCGTCCATTATTTCAAAATTATTTTGAAATAACGGAGTTGCTGTATAGACGCTCGCATAGTTATTTTGGAATAACAGACATCGTTCCAAAATAACTTTGCTGTGTAGACACATGCACAGTGCATTGGTATGTCGTGATGGAAGGATTAGAGTTTTAGGGAAGAGCATCGGGGGGGAAAAAACAAGATAGAAGCCCAGGATCTGGCAAAACATGCATAGTCAAATTTTCTCTTCACAGCAGCAGTGTACTAACACGATGGAAGCTATTCAAATCATGTTTGCAGCAATCACATTTGGCATTTTGAACGTTTTAAAATTCCAAGGCATTCAGGTCCGGGGTTTGAATTTGCCCCACTTTGAAAGTGGGGCCAGCCCCTATGTTTTGATCTATAGCTAAATTTGGGATTAAGGTGTCAGTATGGGCCAGCTCATGTCTGCAGTTACAGTTGTGAAACTTGGTCATTTCACCAGTGTGATGATTAACTAACAATCTTTTTGCACATCTTTTGCAACTGCCTTGGAATTGTTCTGAATAAACATTCCTTTGTATCTCTGATTGTTATTTCTTTGGGGGC